TGTTCAGCTGTTTGCAGACGGCGCGACGAGAAAAGCGAAATATTGTCGAGTGCCCTCCCACTTGATGCTTATAAGGTTCAAGTACAACCTTTCCCTTAGTCCTAGGCGGACCCTGAACTTCGGTTGGTCGCCGAGATAGTGTGCTTCGTTGCGTTGGCGTGGTTGACATATCATCTGTTTGACTTTGTCGGCTGATATCATCACTAGATTCAATCTCCGACTCCGAAGTGCTGATGATTGCAGTTGAGGGAGCTTCTTCAAGCGGGGATAGTGCTGGCACATGATAGTCTCCGGTGCCTTCGTCCAAAGGGCGATAATTACCATGAAACATTCTCTTCTCATTCTGCGAGACGACTGATATGTCAATGTGCTCCGTGCCTCCCAACGCCTCGTTTGTTTTGTTGTCGGTTGAGAGAACAATCTCGTCTGTCGGTCTCGGAAGTTGTCGATTGTTGTTCATATTTGGTGAGGCAACCTCTCCTGGGGAAGTGAAGCGTTCGATCTCTTCAGGCGACGGACCTGGATGTGGGTAGTAGACAGCTGCCGATATATGCTCCTCTTCAGAAGGGTGCTGGTCCTCTTCTCTCTCCTCTTCGGTGACCTCCCCAGGAGTCGCATCACGGACTGTCGCCTTGTAGATTTCCTTGCCATCATCAGATACTCTCCCCTTCACATCTGGTTTCTCTGCAAGATCCTGTTGACGGAAATAAGGATCGAGGTCAGGTCTGAGTGGAGAAGTGGCCTGTGAACTGCGTAGACTCCCTGGGCCTGTGGCATCTTGGGAAGTGGTGACGACAGGGTCAATGCGTTCTCTCGAGGGCCGACGAGCACTCCATGAAAATTTAGCATCTTGAGTAGCCGGGCTTGTTGGTCGTGAAGACGACTTCGAGGGCTCCCTGCTGCCACTAATGTGACTGAACTGGTCACCGACGTTCAACCCTTGAGAATCCGGGCCGGTTCGTGGATCGAAAATACCCATCATATGACTAGCCTTCCTGCTACGTGCTGTACCTCCAACTTCGGGGTTCTTCACTGTAGCTTCTATACTTTTGTCCACATGTGCCCTGCCACGACTGACACTCCGCTCTGTGCGAGGGCCCTTCAGGACAGCACGCATGGCATCGCCTCTCTCAACCACTGTATGTTGCCCATTTTCTTCCGAAGCGGTCTCTTTCTCTTGGGCCCCTCCAGTATACCGATGTTGTCCTGTGCTCCCCGTGTCTTGGTCTTTCCCCTCGTGGCTCTCCATCTTCCCCAATGTTACATGAAACTTCTTAGTCCATGAGTTCGAATCGGAGGCAATCCGTCTGATACCGTGGATCGTGCCAGTTGAAGGATGGGACGGCGAGGGAGGCGTATCTACATCAGTCGAAGAGTCGGATCGTCGAATCCACTCCGGCTTCCGTGGAGAGTGGGTGCGAGGAGTTTTGCTTGTATCGGGAGGAGGGACAGGATGTGTCACCATGGTCGACATATTGAATGGTGCTTTCCGCGAGGGAATGGAAGACGGAGATGTTCTTGCCCCGTCTAGGGGAGTGGAGGGCTCGCTCGGGGGAGAGACATAGTGTTCAGCAAAGATACTGTCTCTTTCTGATAATTGAGGAAGATGCTCGCCCAACGTGGCTGCCCGATGAAGACTGTAGAGCGGACCTCTGCCATTGTTTGTATTCGTGGAAGGATATAACCCTTTTGTCCCCCGTGAGATTGGAATAGGCTTGGAACTGGACGAGGGACTCAGACTGGTAACAGTTGAAGTAGAGCCTGGTTCATGGCGGAGCAAAGGGTGTCCATTTACCGTCGAACCTGGCGCGGACGGTCTTCCGGCGGGAGCGCTATTTGACATGGGGAGGACATTGGGCGAGCAGTCTGCGGTCCCAACTGCTCCCTGGGTGAACGGAGGGTGGCAGGGAAGCGGTCGTGCGTGTAACGACGATTCGCTACGAATGGTCCGTGAAGGGGGTGAGAGATGAGAAGCGAGCAGAGGAGCAAACGTCGGGTAGTGCTGAGGAGGCCAACGTGCTGGGAACGAGGGTTGGAGCAGGTACAAGAGCCGGAGGAGGCGGTCAATCTCTGGTGGGACAGGGCACCAAGGAAGGGAGTCGTCCAGCAGACACGTGGAGGAGCGAGAGGCTGAGTGTCGAGAGAGACGATGATTCGGTGAGCGAGTAGCGTCGTGTTGTCTGTAATGGTTGAGAGGGGTGTAGGGGGGGGGCGTCGATCTCGATGATGGATATATCAGATGCACGGTGCCTTATGCCAATGGCCTGATGCGTTATGATGCAGAGTACGAGGTATTATCCTGATGTTTCGTGGTATCCATGCAGAAAGTGGTGTCCTTTGCATCATATCGGAGTCATTTTGAGCGATGAGTAGATCGTAGTTTTGGTAGAGGTAGTTTGTGGTGGCGGGCAACAAACTTTCCAGGCGGCTCTCTCCTCCGTGTCTCTACCTGGGCACCCGTAGGTGTTGTCTGGAGCGCTTAGGGACTCTTAGGGACTCATTATTGCCTATCCGCTCCCGGCCACCTCTTGGGCTTGCACCCAAGAGCTCCCTTCTCCATATTTTTCTCCTCCGCCCAAATTTTCTGTGCGACCATGACGTTGAATCATCGTCAGGCCCAAGGACTTCCCCGTGTAGAACTGTCCACTCACAGGGAATCTCGTCTCAGCCCACTTTTAGAGGGCGTCAAATGCAATTTCTACTGGTTCTTTTCTATCCGCCATTCGAAATATACTCCCGTACCTACAGTATTGCATCCCGAACTTCATCTCCTCGTCCATGTTTGTACAGAATCGCTCTCTCATCACGCTTTCTTCCACGGCTGCATGTCTTCCACACCGTTCCTTTCTCCAAGAGATTGCCTTGACCCTTTACCCCATCGTCCCAGGGGCCCGCGGCACTTCGATTGACTATGATTTCCTGCACCTTCGCTTCGACCAATCCTCGCGCTCGGTCGTCGCACGTTGCGCTCACATGCATAAAACACTATGACTGCCGGACAGCGGAACGAGCTCTCCGTCTCCCCCCAGCGATGCTCCATCCACCATCGTGAAGCCACGTCGACCGATCCGACACGATGGCACATTTCTCATCTCTCCCTTGGAGCCCGACGTCTGGGCCTTCAGGCTCCGCTGTCCTCAAATCCGCGTCCCGAATCAGCCCAGCCAGTCTTTCCAGCTTCGAGCGATTCTCCGCTGTGGGCCCGCCCCTCTGGAAGGACACGAGTACCTGGGAGGGACTTTACTTTCTTCTGTCGAGGCGTATAAGACACAAAGAGATAGAATCGTCCACAGATAACTCACCATTGGCATCCCGCGGATGTCGCATGTGGCATTTCAAGCACTCTTCTGTGTAAGATATCCTCCGCTTCTATCAGGTGGCAAGCGTTCACAGTCTTGTTTTTCTCTTCCAACCTCAGGTGAAGACGATCAACCAATAAAGCGAACCCCGAGACGTTCCGTGCCGTGTTTTACTGTACCTATCTGCGCAATTCTCAGTATTCACGGCCAGACTCCTGACACGATAGCCCTGCACTTGCATTACCGAACGACGAGACAGCAGTGTCATGCAAAAAGTCGTCTGGACCTCTTTGACGTTTCACAATTTCCCCGATTTCTTGGGGTCACTAGCTCAAGGGATTCGTTAGAGGTCTGGAGACAATGTTTTGTCAAGGAACACAGCCGCAAGCGGCGGAGGCCAAATGATCAAGATCCAATACAGCAACTTTCTTGCGAAGCTCTTGAAGTCAGAGTGTTGAGCCCTCCACCAAACCCCTGTCCTCCAAGCAGTTCCTGCCCGAATTTCTCCACCATGTGCCTTCAGACAGCATTCTGGTTCCCTCCCGGCTGACCAGCTCAAAGTTTGGTATCAGACGAGCGGTAGGTCTAAGCGAAAAACAACATACGTGCCAACTTTTACAGGCGAGGTGGCCGAGGTAAAGTTTGGAATAGTGATTGTCTGTTCTCCACCCCGGTTCTCCCCATAGACCTGATGTTTGCTCGGCTTAATTTTCAATTAGGTCATTTTTGTTTTTTTGGAGATGACTGGACTGGTATAGCAAGGAGGTGAAACATTCCGCCCGCACAAGTAACATATACAGTTGGCGCGGCAGAAACCTCCGAGGATTGCCGTCCGTTTCCCCAGGATGTTTCTCAGGCCATTGTCATCAGGCGCAAGTGAAACCTTGATTGGTTGTGTGATGGTTGATAATGGGGGATGTTGCTTGATCCCATCACCCCATGATACAGCGCCAGTTAAGAGACGTCTCGATGAAGTGCTGAGTGGTATCTCTGACTGACGCGCGAGGTTGGCGAGATCTATACGACTGTGGCGGAACTTCCCGTACTGTTGGTTCCCGGCCGAAACTTATCAATAATACTTTCAACTTTGATTTGTTGCGATCAGCGAACATTTGCGAAGGCGAAGGAGTACCTTGCACTCCTCGGTTAGATTTCTGACTGACATTTCCAGGAGCCAGAACGAGGCTGTATTTCGTGGGTGTTGATATACCATCACTGGTCTACCATCTAGAATAGCTTGCCGATAAATCGAGTCCGGCTGTTAAGTGACTACATGTGCTCAAATTGCAGTCGTCACATGAATTGTTTCTTCTAAAGACCACGTTTGTAGTCGTCGCCATCGATACCCTAGTACAATATCGAAACTCCAGCTGCAAGGCTGAGATTCCAAGCCTAGGGCAAGACTAGTCGTAGTTAGCATTCTCCGGTTCCCTTCACCGCATCTCGAATTGCAGTTGTCTTTCCCATAAAAAATGTAACGTCCCCATACGCCAGATATCTAGCGAGATGTATGCAGTTCGCTAATTTGCGGAGTAATCGGTCCACAAGCAGGGTAGAGTGAGTGCAGATAAATTCCACTGTGTGGGACATTGTCACGTGGTCACGCGTGTCCAGACGCGTCCTTTGTCATGCGCTTGAGCTCGGCACCAACTTCGTGACCCCGAACCGCTTACTGTCGCTCACCAAACATTCCATGGAGACATGGATGACGGGATTGTGGTGATGCCTGCTGAAATAGCGGATTCGGATGGCGAGTCCGACCTCGCCTCGCCCATCAAACGACCTACCGCCCACAAAGTCGCTCAAGTGAATCCACTACCAGGCCTGACCTCAGACTTTCACATCGATTTCAATGAGTACCTGCCTACTCAGAAGCTTTCATCCTCTGCCTCACTACGCCCGGGCGACTTCAACCAATTAGATGGCTCTACGGATGTCATTGTTGCCCAGACAGCGACACTCTTTGGGGAAATGAAGCCAAAGAAGAGAGCTCACACTGCTTTACACGACGGTCTTGGAGAATTACAACACACGAGACCCAGTGAGAACCCGAAAGTGAAAAGGTCAAAGACGTATGGCGCAGCATCCAGGTCTCGCACTACTTCTCACAATGACAATTTGTTTGCTCCGCCCCTTGAATATTCCCCGGAATCTGGGTATTCAGAGTCTACCGATCAGGATGGGAATGCAGCAGTTCAGACAGCGTCGGGCATAGATACTATGTCGCCTCACGTGGGCATGCCGGTTCTGACCGACACAAGCAACAATTCTGGGGCAATCCCGCTTCTCGAACGACCCTTGGCTGACCCGTCCCACTGTATGACCACTTCGATGGCCTCGATGGGACAGTATCAATCCATCAACCTAGACTTCCGGGGTGCGGGTCAGGGCCTAGATGTCCACACAAACCCGTTTGGATCGTTGAGCCAGATCTCCTTTTTGGAAGAACCCAACCAAGCCGGACAGGAAAACCTCGTGAATTTGGTCGAGGTTGTTGAAGCAAGACAAACCCACATTGACGAGAGTCGGGATATCCACGAGCCATGGCAAGACGAATCATTGCAAATCTTGTCAGAGTTGTCACCAACAAGGCCGCTGGGGATTGACCGGGCTCGAACTACTCAGACAGATGGAACAGCCTCTGCGAATGGAGACGGCCTCTTCCAAGTAACTGAGATCACAAACGACATGCCTGCTCCAGCCAGCACTAGGGATATGCCTACAATGTCCATGGAGAAGGACTCAGTGGCCAGAAAACGCGGACGCAAAGCGAAGAATTCTAGACTGTCCAAATCTCCCGGTCTTGATGTTAATGACGATCCAGACGATATGGGTTTCACAATCTTGGCAAACGCGACCAGATCTCGCCGGGGAACAATGGAGTCGTTATCTCAAGCATCTCAAACATCTGCGACAAATGCTTCCAGGAAGCGAAAGAGAAGGAAATCAAATCACATGGGAGAAGAAGCCGCTACAGGAGATGGCGAGTCGTCCCCCTGGAAACAGCCAACAAGCGACATGATTCTGAGCGACGAAGCCGCGATTGGACTTCCAAAAGAAGCATACAAGCCACGACCCAGTCGGTCTCGGTCCAAAATTGTTGTAGAAGACGAGACGGAACAACAGACTACAGAATCTCTCCTCATCAATCAAACGACAAGCGACCTAAATCTCAGTGATGAGATCATGATCGGGCTACCAAAAGAAGCTTACAAGCCTCGTCCCAGTCGGGCGCGATCCAAGAAGTTTGTTGACGCGGATGAGACTGTTCTGCTCCCACTGGCAGTTGAAGATGACCATCACACCCCAGCGAAGAGCAACAACAGTGTAGAGCAAGAAACTCCTACCGTCAGTGCAGCAAAGCCCAGCACAAAGAAAGGTAGAAAGAGTAAAGTCAAGCGTGCGAAGACGTCTGCGGCGGCCTTGCTCAAGAAAACCGACCCAATGTTAAGCGATGGTGAAGAAGATGTTGTCTGGATGGACACGAAGCCGGCGCCAGTGAAGCTGGATCTGCCACCTGACTTGAAGGCGTTGAAGAAAGAGTCTGACATCCCGAAAAGCGAGCAAGAGCACGGACTCGGACAAGACGGCGAAGAAGCCGAAGATGCTAAGAGCAACAACATTACCATTGAGATTCCGAACCCTCCAGAGGTTAAGGACCCTGTAGTGGAGCCTAAGAAACGGGGGAGAAGGCCCAAAAATTTGGGAGATCAACAACAGGAGCAAACGACCACTGAAGGAAAGGAGGAAGAACGAGAGTCTCATTCAAGCGGTCGTTCACCACTGGTGGAGAAGTCTAGGAACATGCGGACCGGTGTCAGCAACGACTTGGTAGAGAAAGACTTGAGAAAGGCACCCACTGTCTCACCCATCACATCTCCCGAACCAGAGGCGGAGCCGGAGGCCGGGAAAGGGGCGGTGTTGGAAGAAGACGACACCGAAGCTAACACAGGCAGAGGAAAAAAGGCGATCAGCACACCAGCAAAGCCGAAGCCAGCTTCATCGGCGTCGTCTGCAGAAAAGGGACCGACCAAGCACTCTCCCATCAACCCTCCAAGTTTCAGCGGTTCGGGGAGAAAGACAATCTACCGCGTCGGTCTGTCTCGTAGGCAAAACATCCCGAGCCTCTTGAGGAAGGTGGACAGAGACAAGCCGCCGCCGAAGAATGTGGTGAGGAAGGAGAAGGAAAGTAAGAAGAAGAAAGACATGGATGCGGAGAATGAGGGCGAAGAAGGGGGAGGGCCCGGGGAGATGAGAGGGCCAGATGGAATGCTGATTGAGTGGGAGTTTTAACCCAGCTGAACGCTCCGGGTGTGGGAGGACTGGAAGTCGCTTCAACCTCGTTGCGGTATGCTCAGATATGATGATGAGACGGACGTGGACATGACGAAATGCCTGCCCTGTGTTGTGGTTGAGTATATCATGGCCATGGGGATTGGGATGCGCGACTTACATGCCTGTGCAAAGCAATGGACTGGGTTTAGAGGACAGGAACACAGACACAGACACAGACACTGCGGCTACAGTACAGATGTGTCTGTTCCTGACCGGCAAAACCGGGTACTACTACGCTATGTTACCTAGGTAGTATATTATTAGTTACTATTAATTTACATGACCATTCTGTGATGCGATGAGACGGGTGTCAATAAAAAGTAGATATGCATACCACTGCCTTGCTTCACTCATCTTGAAACAGTGCGGTAGATTTCTGGGGGTAATTTGTTTTGTATGGTTTTGCATGGTTCGGTTCTCCGCCATTGAGTAATTGTGGTTCTCTCAAACTACCTCCCTAGTAGATAGATGCGTCTGTATCTTGTGTACTCGGTACGAGGTAGAAATGTCTCGAACCACCAACCAGCTTATGCAGGTACCCCTGGCCCTACGCCGGACTCTGACTCCGCCTCTCCCTCTCTCCCTATCCTTGGCCTTATCCCTCTCCCATATCCCCTAACTCTACCCCCGCCCCTGGCCTTGATTGTTGTGAGGTAATGCCCTGGTTACGCGGCGACAACAACGCCGGAATCTCATCCCACGGACACGCCGCCAAGATCCTGCCCAATGAATACCCCCGGCGGTGCAATTCGTCAAAGACGGCGTGACACCACTCAACGATTCGCAGGTGGTGGTGGGGTGTTCCAGCGGTGGTGGCGGCGCGGGAAAACACGTGTGTCGCGACGCGGAGGGCGAAAAATACGTTTTGCGGACCCATGATGCGCGCGTCGTCGGAGAGGAAGAAGTCCATTGACTTGCATATCATGGTTGCGAGGTGGTGGTCTGGGAGGTCTGGAACCTCCGGAGGAGGAGAAGGAGGAGTGGGTGCGGCATCAGTGTCAGTGTCGCCTCGGTACGACTCTCGCAAGGCAAGGGAGAGGATGCTCGTGCGCAGTAAGAGCAGCATGGTCCAGTAGGAGAGATGGAGCCGGGCGATTTCAAAGGTCGGAAACTGTAGTGACGTTGTAAACACACTCGGGATAGGCAGATGAAACCGTGCCGACACCGGTCGCTCCCAGTACAGCGCTCCACACCCGGTGTGCTTGCGGACCAGTCGCTGGTACCAGGTGTGGAGTTGAGAGTGGAATGTCCACCCTTGCTGGACGAGTGCTGTCCTCTCTGGCACGGCGGCGGCGGCGGCGGCGGTGGCGGTGGTGGTGGTAGATGCAGTCCTAAGTCGTTCGGCTTTCTCGAGCAGAGTCGCGATTTGAGCCATGATATCCTGTAACCGGTCAAGATCTGACTTGGGGTGTATCTTCCACGGCACGGTCAGCCAGTCGGGTCGGGCGAGAAAGATCGATTTGCGCGTGGCCAGCGCGTGGGTGATCTGTTGGAAATCGGTACGAAGTAAGTGAGTGCCTGGGGAGTGGTTTTCACTTTGAAGGGAGGCTAACTTACAGCGGTGGACCTGAATCCCAGGAAGAGTCGATGGCTCGATCCCGTCATATGGGACTCGGGTCCTCGAAGCTCGACTAACCTGGCCATGCCTTCGACGTGGCTGACCCATCCGCAGGTGTTCTTCCCGGAGACTTCGAGGAGCTGTGAATCCGGTCAACAATGTACAGTTCTACTCATGACTCCAAAAGCCCCGGTGTCTCCAAGGGATGATGGACGGGGAGAACGGGGGAAAGATTGAGGAGGGCAGAGGAACATGGGAGACATGCCTCGAAAATCGACAAGGCCATACAACTGGCCAGAGTCTGCTCCTCCAACAGCAGACTGTGGTGCGAGAGAATGTCCTGGAGTCGACGCAGCGCTCTCCCGTAGTTGGCCGTGCCTTCACGTCGGAGCCGCTCGTCGCCGTGTCTGCGACCCAGACAGGAGAGGCTCAATGCCAGGATTGCGAGATCGAGCGAGGCGCTGTTTTCCAACGACGACGGGTCGATGGCTTGGAGCCAGGAAACTTGTTGGGTCTTTTGCTCGTTCTGAAGTCTAGTGTCATGTTCTTCTCCTTCCTCTCCTTCTTCTTTTTTCCTGGGGATGTAGTTGGCGAGAAAGTCGACAAACACCTCTGCAGGCCTGGCGGCGTGTCTTATCCCCTCCATATTTTGGTCTTGGGGCGTCATCCTCGCGGTCGTTACGGTGGTGCCACCCGTTCCGGAGTCACTGCCCGGCGTGAGCTGGTCAACTGAGCGTGCGTCGCCATCAACGGTGATTTGCCGCCTCAAGTCCGTGAGCGAAACCAACGGCTGCGTCCTCGTCAACAACGTCTCGCGGTCCAAGGCGCTCAGATTCTTAAAGTGTCGTTCCCTCTCATAACCCCCGCAGATACGATTGGTTTTTCGACATCGCGCACACGACGGTCTGTCTCCATCACACTGCTAAGAACCGAACAACACACCTGGCGTAGGTTGAGGTTAGGTAAGGCGTGTCTTTGATTCGCGCTTCCGAGGGGTTCCTTGTCGGAGTTCCCCTTGCCACAAGGGTGATAGAAAAAAAAAGATAGGGAATACTTGTTCGCGGGAAAATGGTGAGACGTACGTGGATCTTGCGTTTCCGGCACGTGTTGCAGCCCTTGGAACTTCCTGCGACTCCAACCATTGCTGGTTGTGGTAGAGATATGCGGAAAAGACCGGTAGTGTTAGTGTACGAGTAGACTTGATGGTAGTTTGCTCCCATGAGATACTCTGGTTGGGGGAGGTTCGACGCGTGTAGCTATACCTAGCGATATATGTACGAGGTACCCGCGGATCTTCGGGATGTCAAAGTTAATCCTGGAGCCTGACGACCGGCCTTGATTTTCGTATTATTATGCCAAGGACAAATACGAAAAGGAGGCGACGGTGACATTTAACCGCAAGTATCATTCGTAATCGTAATCGTCTGTGGCTTGGTGCTTGGATTATTGGCATGTTGGGTGAAGGAAGTGGATCTCCAGGTGGATACAAAGATGCATATTACAAGGTAATGGAGAATTACTCCACCATCCACCACATACCAAGCACACGAAATACTTTCCTGGTAGTAGAGGCATTGAGAATATTCCTGCTGCCTGCATGCCCAAGTCAACCAGTCAATCACCCACAATTATCGCTCATTCCAAAGCCATTTCTCCTTGTTCTTCTGTATAGTCACCCCCTCTCTCCCTTCCCCTTTGCGCCCACTCCTTGATACCAAAAACGGCCAAACACCATGCCATCAAAATAGCCGTGAGGCCCATCATGACCGAGGCCACTAGCATTGCGTTCAGCTCATTGTCCATCATCGCATCGACCGTGTCTCTGTTCTGTATTCACCGACAAAATATCAGCATTTGACCATCTTGGGCAGAGTCTTTCCTTACACTGGCCATGAGCATCAGACCTCCGCACATGAGACAAAACGACGTGACGAGCTCGGTTGGTGGTCGTGACGGTGATCGAGATCTCGCTGGGGCAATGTGGAGGAATAGGTACGTGAGACTCCTCGCTACCGATGCAGCGGTGAGGAAGTTGCCACCTGCGAGCGCG